AATTCAGGGACCATCTGCACTAAATTCCAAGAGACTTTCCCCAATGTTCTATCTGTATATTTCTGTTCTAGTGCCATAATGTTTTTAGGTTTAGAACATATTTGGTGGCTGTAAAAGTTACTCCAGCCAACCCCACATTCATTCCCCTTACTCTTTTTCAGAATTTCTATATTCATCTTCAAGTGTATTTATAAAAACTTCAGAATCCGCCCGGCCAATGTGGCTCAGTGGATTGAGTGTTGTTTCATGGACTGAGAGGTCCCAGTTCAATTCCAGGTCAGGGCACGTGTCTGGGTTGCAGGCCCAATCTCCAGTAACAGCCATGCAGGAAGCTGCTAATCGATATTTCTCTCTTACATTGATGTCTCTCTCTCTCTCTCTCTCTCTCTCAAAAATCAATAAAAACATATTTTTAAAAAGATTAAAAGAAACTTCAAAATACTTTGTCAAGTTTCCAAACGACTCTTCTAGTTAGGCTGGAATAACAGGGCTCCCAGACTAGCCCTCTACGGTAAATAGGTATAAAATTGTACAAAATAGCTCTGGCTGGTTTGCCTCAGTGGTTAGAGTGTTGGCCCGCGGTCCAGAGACATCCAAGTTCGGTTCCCACTAAGGGCATGTACCTTGGTTGCAGTTCCCTGCCCTGGTTGGGTTGTGAGGGAGGCAGCCACTCAATGTGTCCCTTTCATGTCGATGTTTCTCTCTCTCTCTCTCTCTCTCTTTCACCCCCTCCTTCTCTCCCACTCTATCTGAACAAAAATGGAAAAATGGCCTCCGGTGAGGGTTAAAAAAAAAAAGTACAAAATACATGAATCAATAGCTTTCAGACATTAGAAACTAGCATGCGCGCGCGCACACACACACACACACACACACGTCACAAAGTGTACACTATCGTTGTATAGCTCTGGGAGCTTTTTCAGACCTGGCACGAGAGCTGAAGTTCAAGCAAAGCACATCAGGCAGAAATGAGAATTATGGGCCTTGGAAGTAGAAAACTGCAGGCCTCCAGAAGTCCACATGGGAGTATCCAGAGAGTAGATGGACCCACGTAAGGATTAGCTTAGCAAATAGCAGCTGCTATATAGTTGAGAAAACATATTCTAAAAGATGAACAGTGCTTGGGGAAAAAAAACCAATGCTGAGAACACTGATATTCCGGGGCTGCCAGAATTTAGCATCCCATAATACCTCCTTAAATCCCTGGCATTCATCTGAGATACCAGAATATTATATGTCAACTATAATTGAAAATAAAAAAATGATTAAAAAACAAAATGAAGGGTTTCAATCAACAGTAAAAAATTATAGTATTTCAGATTATATTACACTGATCTTACTGATCAAAAAGAAATTAGATCTTATTAATCTTACTAATAAAAGACTGTATCAATAAGCAATTATTAGAAATACAAATTACCAATGAATATAGAAAAGGATGCTCAGTATCCATCTTATTTAAATAAATGCAAGCCCTGGCCAGTTTGGCTCAGCGGTTAGAGTGTTGGCCTGCGGACCAGAGAGTCCCGGATTCAGTTCCCGCTAAGGTCACGTACCTTGGTTGTAGTTTGTCCCTGGCCCCAGTTGAGGTCATGTGGGTGGCAACCAGTCGATGTGTCTCTCTCACGTTGATGTTTCTCCTCCCCCTTCTCTCCCTCCCATTTTGTCTGAAGATGGATGCAAAAATGTCTTTGGGTGAGGATAAATAAATAAATGCAAATTAAATGATGATGCCATTTGACATGTTCAGGTGAGAGAAATCAGAAACAGTTAATGTCCAGTGACAGTTTAAGGGAAATGTACATTGTTAGTTGCTACTTGTGGGAGAGTAACTTGACAGGAAATCTTTGGATCACAGCATCATAAGCAAACATGAGCATGTACTCTGATCCAGTGTGACAACTGTTTCCCAGGTAATTGTGTATCGTATTGATTTCTAGCATACTATCCTCCAAGCCCATAGGCTGTTTTATGGGCCCAACTTTAAACTTACAGAATCAGACTTTTTTGTGAGTGGCTTACGAATATTTGTTTAATAATTTCTTCTCATGTCTTTCTTAACATATTTAAAGACTCAGATGTATCCAAAAGAATACTCTTAAAAGTATGCAGATATAAGTGCATGCATGTTCGATAGAGTTTTGGGAAAATAACCACAAATAATTAAAATAAATCAGTATGATACAATACAGTGTGGTCTTTAAAGGGAATGCTCTGGCCCTGGCCAGTTTGGCTCAGCGGTTAGAGCGTCGGCCTGCGGTCCGGAGAGACCCGGGTTCAGTTCCCGCTAAGGGCGTGTACCTTGGTTGCAGTTTGTCCCTGGCCCTGGTTGGTTGTGCGGGTGGCAGCCACTCGATGTGTCCCTTTCACATCGATGTTTCTCTCTCTCTCTGTTCCTCTCTCTCCCTCCCACTCTACCTGAACAAAAAATGGAAAAATGTCCTCGGGTGAGGATGATAAAAAAAATTTAAAAAAATAAAGGGAATGCTCTGTATGTAGAGACAAAATTATACTGGTAAATGAAAAAAGTCACAGGACAGGATGCATAAACATGGTTATGTGATTAGGGAAAACATGTGTTTGTGTATACACATATAGTAGTCCCCCCTTCCCTTATCTACTGCTTCACTTTCTGTGGTTTCAGTTAGCCGTAGTCATTTGTGGTCTGAAAATATGAATTGGAAAATTCCAGAAATAAACATTTCCTAAGTTTTAAGTTGTATGGTAAGTTTTAAGTTGTGCGGTGTTCTGAGTAGGGTGATGAAATTTTGTGCCATCCTGCTGTGGCCTCCCTGAGACATGAATCATCCCTTTGTCCAATGTCTACATGCTCCCTGCTCGTTAGTCACTAGTTATCAGATTCAGTGCAGTACTTGTGTTCAAGTAACCCTATTTTACTGAATAAATGGCCCAAAGCACAAGAGTAGTTACATGCCAAAAAGAAGCCTAAAGTGCTTCCTTTAAGTGAAAAGGAGAAAGTTCTTGAGTTACTAGGGAAAGAAAAAAAAAGTCATATGCTGAGGTTGCTGAAATTTATGGTAAGAACACACCTATCTGTGAAACTGTGAAGAAGGGAAAAAAAATTGTGCTAGTTTTGCTCTTACACCTTTTGTGTAACTTTTGTGGCTTCAGAAGTTATAGTGACAGTGCATAAATGCTTAGTTAAGACGGAAAAGACATTAAATTTGTGGGTGGAAGATATGAACAAAAAACATGCTCTGAATGATGACGGCGTGTTGTGCCAGAAGCACAGAGCCTATACGAAGACTTTAGCAAGGTGTCCCCTGAAATGAATGACCACATTCACATTACTTTTGTTACAGTATAATGTTATAATTGTTCTATTTTAGTAGTTAGGGTTAATCTCTTACTGTGCCTACTTTATAGAAAAAAACTTTATTGAAGGTAGATATGTAAAATGATATAGCCCTCAGCGGTACAGCATTGGCCCGTGGACCCATGAGTCATGGGTTCGATTCTGGCTAAGGGCACATACTTCCCTTGTGGTTCGTCCCTGGCCCTGGTCGGGGTCGTGCATGAGGCAACCAGTCACTGTGTTTCTCTCACATCAATGTTTCTCTCTCTCTCCCTTTCTCTCCTTCTCCCTCCCACTGTATGTGAAGATAAATAGAAAAATATCCTCAGGTGAGGATTAAACATTGATATCAATGTTGGGGGGGCATTGATATCAATGTGAGAGAGACACATTTTGATTAGTTGCCTCTCTCACGACATTAATATATATGGTTTGGTACTATGAAGTTTCAGGTATCCATTGAGGGGGCGGTCTTGGGACATATCTTCTATGGAGAAAGGGGGACTACTGTAAATCATCTGGGAGAATATAAATTAAATAGTGGTTGTTTTTAGAGGGGTAGACATCCTTTTTTTCCCTAATCCTCACCCAAGGATGTTTATTGATTTGAAAAAGTGAGAGACAGAGAGAGAGAAAGAGAGAAAGGAACATCAATGTGAGAAAGACATGTTGATCATTTGCCTCCAGTACTTTCCCTGACTGGTGGTCGAACCCACTGGTGAGCAAACCCCACAACCTGGTATGTGCTCTGACCCTGACGGGAATCAAATCCGCAACCTTTCAATGTATGGGACAATGCTCCAACCAGCTGAGCCACATTGGCCAGGGCTATTCTTTTTTTTTTTAATCTTCTCCTGAGGATATTTTTCAGTTGGTTTTTTTTTTTTCTTTTAGATAGAGTGGAAGGGGGGTGGGTGGACAGCGATATCAGTGTGAGAGAGACACATTTTGATTGGTTGCCTCCCTCACAACCCAGACTGGAGCTGGGGACCGAACCTGCAACCCAGGTATGTGCCCTTTACTGGGAATCAAACCCTCAATCCTTCGGTCCATGGGTTGACACCTAACCGCTGAGCCAAACTGGCCAGGACTATCCTTTTTGTTTTGTGAATTTCTTATATAGCTTTGGTTTTATCTTATAAGTGGTTTTTATACTGATACCAATTCAAGGGAAATCAAGAACCATGAACTTTTGGAAGTTTATAGGTGAACAGTGAAGTATATTTTGATACTATATTAGGTAAATTAATTTTATTTAGTTGAAACCTTGTTTGGCTAAAGAATATTTTAATCAGCCCTGGCCGGTTTGGCTAGCGGTTAGAGCGTTGGCCTTTGGTCTGGAGAGACCCGGGTTCGGTTCCCGCTAAGGGCACGTACCTCAGTTGCAGTTTGTCCCTGGCCCTGGTTAGGTCGCGTGGGTGGCAACCACTCAATATGTCCCTTTCACATCGATGTTTCTCTGTCTCTTTCCCTCCCACTCTATCTGACCAGAATATAAATGTCCTTGGGTGAGGATTTAAAAAAAAAATTTTTTTTTAATTGGGTTTATCTTGGAAGGCCTCAGTGATTTGAATTCAAGTATATTATTATAGTATGTTTTCTCAAAGTAAAAACAGTATTTTGTTGTGGTGGTGTTTTGCTTTTTTAAGTTATCTATTCATAATATTAATACTTTTCTTTTAAGAACCCTCAACAACTAGTACTGCTTCAAATTATCCAGATGTATTAACAAGGCCTTCTCTTCATCGGAGCCATCTAAATTTCTCCATGTTGGAATCTCCTTCATTACACTGTCAGCCCTCCACATCATCGGCATTCCCAATTGGCAGTTCTGGATTTTCCCTTGTAAAAGAAATTAAAGATTCTACCTCTCAGCATGATGATGATAACATCTCAACTACCAGTGGGTTTTCTTCAAGAGCTTCTGATAAAGGTATTCTTGGCATTTGGTAGTAACTAACTTTGTTAGTGAGATTAAATTTCATGGAATAAGTTTTTTCTAACAGTCTTAATTTTCATTTTCTATTTGTAAAAATTTAGGGTCTTGTAATTAATGCTATTATTATTCATCACATATTTTTGTTTCAGATATAACTGTTTCAAAGAATACTTCAGTGCCCGCTCTGTGGTCCCCAGAGGCTGAACGTCCTCATGCACTCTCACAGCACACTGCCGCCAGCGCAAAGAAACCAGCATTCAACTTGTCTGCCTTTGGAACTCTTTCTCCTGTGAGTGCTAATTGGAGTTGATTTAATCACATTAGTTTTGAGTGTTTATTGCTTATAATTTTTCATTGTATTTCTGTGCAGTCACTTGGGAGTTCTTCATTCCTTAAAACGAGTCAACTTGGAGATTCTCCTTTTTATCCTGGAAAAACAACATATGGTGGGGCAGCAGCTGCTGTAAGACAGACTAAACTACAAAACACACCGTATCAGGTTGGTTTGAAAATAGAGAAGACTTGATAACCTTTAAAAAAAATAATTGGTAAGTGCTTTGGCACTTCTGATTCAATCATTCTTTGGTAAGATGATAGTGTGTACGTTATAAAATTCTTTTCACTTAGGGACTATATGTACATTATTTATTTATGTATTTATTTACTTATTTTTTCTATTAGAATTTTATTATTATTTTTAATCCTCACTCAAGGATATTTTTCCATTGATTTTTTTTTTTTTTTTTTTAGATTGGAAAAAAAGGAGGGGGAGAGAGAGAGAGAGAGAAGGAGGGAGAGAGAGAGAGAGAGAGAGAGAGGGAAATGTGAGAGAGATACATCGATGGGTTGCCTCTTGCACGACCCTGATCAGGCCAGGGATCGAACCTGCAACCAAGGTATATGCCCTTGACTGGAAATTGAAACCGAGACTCCTTGGTCCTCGGGCTGACACTCTAACCGCTGAGCCAAACCAGCCAGGGCATGAACATTATTTTAGATGTAAGCGAACATTTTGTATGTTAGGAGTGAGTGAGTGTGTGTGTGTGTAGGAAATGTGATGATTAATTCCTTTAAAAAAATACTGAGGTATAAATTACATATAGTAAACTTTGTGTACTTGAATTTTGACAAAACATACACAGTTATGTAACCACCCTGTAATCAAAATATTGAACAAACATTTTCATCACCCCAAAATTTTACCTTGTGCATCTCTATAATCAACCACTTTTCCTACTTCTACCCTTTGGCAACCACTGATCTGTTTTATTTCCCGGTAGTTTTGTTTGTTTCCAGTATGTCATATAAATTTAATTATATAGTATATAGTTCTTTTTTATTTTATTTATTTATTTTTCTCATCCTCACCCGAAGACACTTCTGCATTTATCTTCTGACAGCGCGGGAGGGAGCGGGAAGGTGGGGGGGGCGGGACATCAATGCGAGACAGACACATCGACTAGTCACCACTCACATGACTCCAACCGGGGCCGGGGACAAACTGCAACCAAGGTATGTGCCCCTGGCGGGAACCGAACCTGGGTCTCTCCGGTTCGCGGGCCGACGCTCTAACTGCTGAGCCAAACTGGCCAGGGTGTCTTTTTTTATTTTTAAAATTTTATTACTAATTTATTTGTGTTACAGATGTTTCTCCTTTTTTTCTCCCATTGACACCTTCCTCCCACTCCCCCTCCCCCCTACCCAGTATATGGTCTTTTGAATCTGGTTTATTCTACTTAGTATGATACATGAGTTCAGTCTATATTTTTGCAGATATCAATAGTTCCTTTTTATTGTTGAATTATAGTTTGTTTATCCATTCACCAGTGAAAGGACACTTGGGTTGTTTCTAATATTTGGTTATTGTGAATAAAACTGCTCTGAACATTTTGTGTGAATATTAATTGTCATTTCTTTTGGGTAAATACCTAGAAGCTTGCTGGGTTATATAATATACATTAAACTTTATAGTAAACTGTTTTTAAAAGTGGCTGGTATTTGCTTTCTCACTAGTAATGTAAGAGGATCTGGCCAGCACTTGTTTTGGTCATCAGTTTATTTTCTGGGGTTTTTTTTGTTTTAGTCATTCTATTAGACACATAGTGGCAACTCCAATTTGCTGTGGATTTTATTTGAATTTCCTTAATGACATTAAGAATCTTTTGATGTGCTTATTTGCCATCAATATATCTTCTTTGGTGAAATATCTTTTCAGATCTTTTGCCCATTTTTTAATATGATTGTTTTCTTATTAATGAATTTTAAGAGTGTGTTATTCAGGATATAAGTCCTTTATTAGAAATATGTTTTGCAAATATTTTTATCCTTTTCTCTGGCTTGTCTTAATGTCCTTTGAAGGGAATTTTTCTTTTGATGACATTTCATATATTGATTTTTTGCTTTTATGGTTCATGATTTTGGTGTAGTGTCACAGACATTCTTGTGTGACCCAAGGTCATGGAGATTTTTTCTTATGTTTTCTTGTAGAAGCTTTATAGTTTTAGGTTTCAATTTAGGCCTATGAATCATTTGAGTTCATTTTTGTATGTGACATGAGGTATGAATCAAGATTCTTTTTTTAAATCCTTACCTGAGGACACTTTTGCATTTATCTTTAGATAGAGTGGGAAGGGGAGAGAGAGAGAGAGAGAGAAACATTAATGTGAGAGAGACACATTGAGTGGCTGCCACACACATGGCTCCAACTGGGGCCAGGAGCAAACCGCAACCAAGGTACGTGCCCTAAGCAGGAACCGAACCCAGGACTCTCCGGTCCGCGGGCTGACGCTCTAACCGCTGAGCCAAACTGACCAGGGCTCAAGATTTATTTTTTAAACATATGATAGTATGTACCATTTGTTGAAAAGACTATACGTTTTTCTTTGAATTGCCTTTGCACCGTTGTCAAAAATCAGTTGACCAGCCCTGGCCGGTTTGGCTCAGCAGTTAGAGCGTCGGTCTGCGGTCCTGAGAGACCCGGGTTCGGTTCCCGCTAAGGGCACGTACCTCGGTTGCAGTTTGTCCCCGACCCTGGTTGGGTTGTGCGGGTGGCAGCCACTCAATGTGTTTCTTTCACATCGATGTTTCTCTCTCTCTCTGTTCCTCTCTCTCCCTCCCACTCTACCTGAACAAAAAATGGAAAAATGTCCTCGGGTGAGGATAAAAAAAAAAAAAAAAAAAAATCAGTTGACCATGTGGTGGCTCTGTTTCTGGACTTTCTATGTTTTGTTGATCCTTTATGTTCTGTTGATCCTTTCTATGTATTGATCCTTTACCAACACTAAACTGTCTTGATTATTGTAGACAGTAAGTCTTGAAATCAAATAATACGAGTCCTCCAGCTTTGTTCTTTTTCAAGCTTGTTTTGGCTTTCCTAGTTTCTTTGCTTTTTCATAATTTTAGAATCACCATATCCGTTTCTACAAAGTCTACAGGGATTTTGTTTGGGGTTACATTGAGTCTAAAGATCAACTTGGGGAGAATAAACATCTTAATAAAAATGGGTCTTCAGTCCATGAACACAATATATCTGTCCATTTATTTAGGTCTTTTAAATATTCTTTCATCAGTGTTTTATAGTATTCATCACACAGACCTTGCACATATTTTGTTAGATTTATATCAAAATGTTTCATGTTATTTGGTATTACTCAAGAATAAATTGCATAAGTAGTCTACTCAATAAATTGACTTCATAGTTAAAATACTTCCCAGCAAAGAAAACTTCAGGCCCAGATAAATTTCCTTGTGAATTCTACCAAACACAAACTTTTCCATGCACTTCCCAGCACATTTATGAGGCCAACATTATCCTGCCACCCACACAACCCAACCAGGGCCAGGAATAAACTGCAACCGAGGTACGTGCCCTTAGTGGGAACCAAACCGGGGTCTCTCTGGACCGCAGGCTGACACTCTAACCGCTGAGCCAAACCGGCCAGGGCTTGAATTCTATATTTTTAATACTGAGTCCTGACATACCATTTGAATCCTTCTCAACACAGGCTTCCAAATATTTATCTTTGACATTTGGGTGAATCTATTTTCTATTTCTTTGCTAAAGTTTTAGAGTTGGAAGGTATATTAAAGATTCTCTAATTCCATTTTATTGATTAGTGTACTAAGGTCCTGAGAGGCTAGTGGCCAGTAGAATCCAGTGACAGGACAGACTATCACAATTTCCTGGAGGATTTTAATGTTGCCTCATCTTTGCCAAAGCCTCTGGCCTGGCACTAAGTTTTAATACAACTAATGTAGAATATTGTAGCTCCTCTGAAAAAGCGCAATGAATGTTTGGTATCAGGTAGAGAAACGTTACGTAAAGTAGTTACCATGATTCAGTTTTTCAGGTATTATGAACAATTTGTAGAAACTGGGTAAAATTTTAATAGTTGTAATACATTTTCTTTTAATATTAAGCATTGCCAGACTACTTTGATTTGTGGTAATCATTTGGTAATTGGAATGTTGTAAAGAATTTAAAAGGAAGAGTTTCTACTGGCATTGGTGAACATTGCTTCTGATTAAAGGTTACTTATCTTTATATAGGCTTATTTTCTTAAGTCCAGTTTTTTTTTTTTTCTTTATTGATTTTAGAGAGAGGAAGGGAGAGGGAGAGAGATAAAAATATCATTGAGAGAGAACATTGATTGGCCGCCTCCTGCATGCCCCCCACTGGGGATTGGGCCCACAACTTGGGCATGTGCCCTGATCAGCAATCGAACCGGCGACTTCTTGGCACATGGGCTGATGCCTAACCACTGAGCCACACCAGCCGGGTCTTAAGTCCAGTTTTTAAAAAGTTAAATCATTTATTAAGAAATGGCCTATGACCCAGCCAGTGTGGCTCAGTGGTTGAGTATCGACCCTGCATCAAGAGGTTCTCAGTTCGATTCCTAGTCAGGACACATGCCTGGATTTCTGGCTTGATCCCCAGTGCAGGAGGCAGCCGATCATTGTTTTTCTTTCATCGATGTTTCTCTCTCTTTCTCCCTCTTCGTTTCTCTCTAAAAATCCACAAAAACATTTTTTTTTTATAAAAAGGAATAACCTTTATATTTATTTTTCTTATATTAAAATTGGAGAAACAATTTACTTTAAAAATTTTAAATTTCATTGCAAAGAATCTATAGTCCTTGTTTAGTTATCTTGGCATTTACTATAATTAAATATTAATACCCAGAATAAGCAATATTTTAACACAGTTGTCATTAATTTAGTGTTCTTTGATTTAAATAGAAGGTCATGCTAGAATGTTTAACCAGTTATCTCACTTTTCCCATTTAACATAGCTGGGAGAGCTTTAGAGTGGTGCAAGCTATTTTACCATTGTAAAATAATTTCTCAGGCACAGAAATAAATTTTCAATAAAGGCATAAAAAAGTTTAATATACAATTAATGACACTACCCAGAAATAAATTGTTAGATTAATCCTCTTTTGTTTTGGACACCCTTCTATTTTGTAAATACTTTTATTTTCTCAAAAAGATGCTTTAGAGTTTACAGTTCCAACAAATAATACAAGTTTTACTTTACAGGCACCATTCAGAAGACAGATGAAAGCTAAGCAGCTCAATGCAGAATACTATGGTGTGACTAGTTCAACAGCTCGGCGAATACTGCAGTCTTTAGAGAAGATGTCAAGCCCTTTAGCGGTAAATGTTTAAAATCACAAAAGCAGAACTGTAACGAAATTTGAGTTTAGTGAAAAATCTTAATTTTGTTATTTTAAAATTAACAGGATGCAAAAAGAATTCCATCTGTTGTTTCTTCTCCACTGAATTCTGTAAGTTGACTTTTTAACCTCTTAAAAGATAGATTTTTATAAATTGGTGGTGAAAGTTGTTATTTTTCAAAGCTTACCATCTATTCTAATAGTATTTTATTTTTTCAGCCTCTTGATAGGAGTGCTATAGATACCACCACGGATTTTCGGGCCAAAAGGGAAAAGGTAAGATTTCTTTCGCATTTATTTGTGTAAAGTGTCAGCAATTTTGTTTTGTTTATTTTTAAATTAGCAAATGTACAAATTGAATTTAGTTGATAGTCATAGGGAACATGTTTGAAAAATAAAAATTTTAAAAATTGCACATTGTTATCCCTTGTGAGCCTTAGCACAATGCTCTATGTAATAAATGCTTAGTCATCTTTTTTTTGTTACTTGACATTTCCATCTTCAGCATCCTGGCAGACTTTATGGGTAACTCTTACTTTTTGATAAATAAAAATAGGAGTGAGCAGAGCTTGAAGTGTTTAGCAATTATAAATTCAGTGAACTGAAGTGCTCACTGAATATAGTTAGCTCTGCAAACTTTCCTCATTTACAAACATTGTCAAGCCTGTTGTGTGTAATACAATTTTAAATTGGCATATCTTTCATCAGTCAGCCAAAAATACTGTTCCAAGATATCAAAGCTATTAAAACAACATCATACAGATTATATATTGCCAGTCCTTTTTAGTGTATTCTATTTTGTTACAATTAGCTTTAGAGATTACTGTGGAAAAAATAAAATGCTTGAGAGGGATGAAAAGACATATTTTTTGTTATAGTTATGGCTAGTTAAGTGTTCTTCAGGAGAAGCAGATTCCCAGATTGTTATTTGTAGAAGCATTTACTGCAACACCAAGTTCCCTCAGAAGTAATTGATTAAAATTGTCGTAATTCTCTGAATTAATTCAGGGACTGTATTTGAGATATTGGCAGAATATTTTTTACTGAATATTGATATATATACATAATAATTATTTTTACTGAAATTCTAATGCAGAAAAGAAAGCCAAAATTGAGTTTTTTTTACTTGGGATAATGTTGCCTCTCAATTTTTAGAGTTTAGACATTTGTAATTAGGTAAGAGGGAATCCATTATTAGCTGCTGTGATGGGATTAAACCATTAGCTGCTTTTCTCAGATTCCTATTTTATATCAGATTGCATAAAAAGAAGTTAAGTTTTTAAAAATGTGCCATAATAAAAGTTCTCAGCAACAAAAATTTTTTATTAATGATTACATATAATACCAATAAAATATTATTCATGGTTGTTAACAATTATAGTGGCCAGATAATAACAATATTGTAGTTCCTGTTTCGTGGATGTAATCAGAACAATCTACAAAACAGACTTTCTCCTTGAGTTGTGGGATTACATTTGTGGTGAGGATTTAGGCAAGAGGTAGTAACCATACACAGGCTTTGCCTAGGAATTCATTGCTGTTCACAGCTGCTGTTGAGTGAAAGGAGTATATTCATAGTATTAACACTCTTTTGACAGAGTAGAAGCTGTAGGCTTTATAGTTATCTTAAACCAACAGGATTTTTACCGTGTTCAGTGTTACAAAAGATTGTTGACAAAACACTTGTGTACTTAGACAATAAAACCAGTTCATTTTAAGATTTGGAATTCTTTTTTTTTAATCCTCACCTGAGGACATTTTTCCATTTTTTGTTCAGATAGAGTGGGAGGGAGAGAGAAAGAGAAACATCGACGTGAAAGGGACACATCAAGTGGCTGCCTCCCGCACTATCCAACCAGGGCTGGGGACAAACTGCAGCTGATGTACGTGCCCTTAGCAGGAACCAAACCTGGGTCTCTCTGGACCACAAGCTGATGCTCTAACCACTGAGCAAAACTGGCCAAGGCAAGATTTGGAATTCTTAACAGTGTTTTACTGATTAGACTTAAACTGTAAGAATTTTGGTTTGGTTTTTAAATAACACCAGAGGAAAATTAACTTGGACAGAGATTTGCCCACATTTTTAGCAATTAAAATATTTTCATTACTATTTAAAAAATATCTGTAGCTGAAGAAAATTTAGATTTAGATAGTAATTGCGGAAAATGTGGCAAAATCATTTTAGTTTATATATTTGAAATTCATCCTGTAAAAGCTTAGCTTTGTGGAATAGTTTTCAATATCATTACCATTTTGTGTGTGTACAGTATGTGAAAAGTCATTAAGTCTGGAATAAAATAGTCTTTGAAACCATTTTGGAATTATATATGTATATATAGGTGTATAAATACACACACACACACACACACACACACACACTCCCTCCCTCCCTTGGTTCTACTATTGTCAGTTTTCCTCTTAGTATTTGTTTGCACTTATTGGATATTTCTCTGGGAAGTCCTCAGTCTCTAGGTTACATGAGTTATTGTCAAATAATTTTTAGCTATGTATCACCAATAATATGTGAAAATGAAATTTTGTCTTTGATTTTTTTTTTTTTACCTATTAGGTGGTCTGTCAGTATCCCCCAGTTCAGAGACTCATGACTCCAAAGCAGGTATCCATAGCAGCAAATCGAACTGCTTATTTTAAACCATCTCTAACCCCATCTGGTGAATTAAGGAAGACAAATCAAAGAATAGATAAAAAACACAGTGTGAGTATGTGTTTATTTTTGCTAGTCTTTGAATATTGATTAAAATGAATAAGAATAAATAACGTAACATACAAGTACTCTACCATTGCACATAATGTGAATTAGTGATGATTATGAAATGGAATGCTTTAAAATGGCTGGCACCTTAATCAAATCCCAAGTTAATGTTTACTAGTAAATAATATTATGGGCTAATGGTTTAGATTAAATAATTTTGCTGGATTTGCTTTATCTGTTTGTGTTGTTGGACTCTGAAAATAAATTTCAGGCGTCATATCTGTTCATCTCTAATTGCTTTGGAATGCAATTTCTAAGTACTTTAAACATTTTCAATTACAGTTTACATTCAATACTTTTTAGTTTCAGGTGTACAACACAGTCGTTAGACAGTTATATACTTTACAAAGTGATCCCCCTGATATTTCAAATTCCCCTCTGGCACCATACATAGTTATTTTAATATTATTGACTATATTTCCTATGTTATGATTGACATCCCCATGACTGTTTTGTAACTACCAACTTGTACTTCTTAATCCTTTCACCTTTTTCATCCAGTCCCCCAACCACCTTCCCCTCTGGCAACCATTAACCTATTTTCGGTATCTGTGAGTCTTTTTCTATTTTGTTCTTTAAATTTCATGTGTAAGTGAAATTGAATGGTATTTGTCTTTCTCTGTATGACTTATTTCACTTAGCATAGTCCTCTCTAGGTTCATCATGCTATACGAATGGTAAGATTACATTGTTTTTTTATGGCTGAGTAATATTTCATTGTATGTATGAATCACAGCTTTATCTACTTGTCTGTTGATGGGCGCTTGGGTTGCTTCCATATGTTGGCTATTTTAAATAATGCTGCAGGAGCCAAGGGGTGCATGTTTTCTTTTGATTTAGTGTTTTGGGTTTCTTCAGGTATATGCCTAGAGGTGGAATCACTGGGGGGTCATAAGGCTGTTTCATTTTTAATTTTTTGAGGACCCTCCATACTGTTTTCCATAATGGCTATACCAGTCTGCATTCCTACCAACAGGACACAAGGGTTCCCTTTTCTTCACATCCTGGCCAACACTTGTTTGTTAAGTTATTGATGATAGCCATTCTGACAGGTGTGAGGTATGGTTATCTCATTGTGGTTTTAATTTGTGTTTCTCTGATGGGTAGTGACATTGAGAATTTTTTCATGTGTCTATTGGCCTACTATGTATGTCCTCTTTGGAGAGGTGTCTGTTCAGGTCCTCTGCCCCTTTTTTAATTAGATTGCTTGTTTTTTTGGTGTTGAGTTGTATGAGTTCTTTATTAATTTTGGATATTAACCCCTTGTGGGATGTATCATTGGCGAATACCTTCTTCCATTTAGTAGGTTGTCTTTTCACTTTATTGATAGTTTTCTGTGCAGAAACTTTTTAGTTTGATGTTAGTCCCATTTGTTTATTCTTATTTTTGTTTCCCTTTCCTGAGGAGATAATATCAGGAAAAAATATAGCTAAGAGAAATGTCAGAGATATTATTGTCGGTTTTCTTCTAGGATTATTATGGTTTTGAGTTAAAGTTTTTAATTCATTTTGAATTTATTCTTGTGTATGATGTAAGAGGTTGGTCTAATTTTATTTATTTTATTTGCACGTATCTGTCCAATTTCCCCAACACTGTTAAAGGAATAGATGCTCTTTACCTCATTGTGTTCTTGCCTTCCTTGTTATATATTAATCGACCATATAGGCATATTTTGTTTAGTTTTGTTTTTTTAATTCTCACCTAAGGCTACTTTTTCATTGATTTTCAGATAGAGAGGGAAGGAGGGAAGGGGGGAGAGAGAGAGAAAGAAAGAAACATCAATGCAAGAGACACGTTGATTGGTTGCCTCTTGCAAAACTCAGCTAGGGCCAGGGATTGAACTTAGACCGAGGTACGTGCCCTTGACCGGAATTTAACCCACAACTCTTTGGTCCATAGGCTGATGCTCTAACTGCTGAGCCATACTAGTCAGGACAGGCATAAGTTTATTTCTGGGCTCTCTATTCTGTTCTTGATCTCCATGTCTGTTTTTATTACGATAGCCTTGTAATATAGTTTGATATCAAGTAGCATGATACTTCTAACTTCGTTCTTTTTTCTCAAGATTGCTGTGGGTATTTGGGGTCTTTTATGGTTCCATATATGTGTTTTGATTATTCTAGTTCTGTGAAAAACTCCATTGGTATTCTGATAGAGATTTTATTAAATCTATAGATTGTTTTGGATGGTATGGATATTTTAACAATGTTATTTCTTCTTATCCATGAGCACGGTATATGCTTCCATTTATTTGTATCTTCAGTTTCTTTCTTCGGTGTCTTATAATTTTTCAAGTACAGGTCTTTTGCTTCTTTGGTTAAATTTATTCCTAAGTATTTTTATTTTGATGCAATTGTAAATGAGATTGTTTTCTTAGTTTCCCTTTCTGATACTTCATTATTGTTGTATTCAAATGTAACCTATTTCTGAATATTTATTTTGTATCCTGCTACTTTTCTGAATTCATGTATCAGTTCTAGTAATTTTTGGTGGAATCTTTAGGGTTCTCTGTAGTATCATGTCATCGGCAAATAATGACAGTTTTACTTCTTCCTATCCAATTTAGATGCCTTTTATTTCTTATCTGATTGATGTGGCTAGGACTTCAAGTACTATGTTGAGTAAGAGTGGTGAATGTGGACATCTCTGTCTCATTCTAGTCTTCAGATGGTTATCTAGGTTGATTGTTCTATAATTTAGTTGCATTTTGAAGTGGTCGTGGAGGGGATTATGTTTCAGAGAATCATTTCAAAAAGAATATCCTTATAAATTTGCCTGCACATTTAATGTCATAACCACAGAGAAAATGAAAGTATTTTTGTGGTTAGTGCATTAACTTTGTATAGCACCATTTTGTTAAAAACACAGTTGTGTTCAGTGACATATATGTGTTTAAATATAATCACAATAACGTTTGGTTACCATTCAGAAGGCAGGCTCTAAGTTGCAAATTTTAGGATTTATTAACTAATAACCATCAAATTCCTGATTTCAAATATTAACATTCACAGATAGAAGGGTAGTATTAAGAAAAAATCCCAGGGGGTTAGGCAGGGGTGGAGGGTTGGGTGAAAAAGAAAGACCTTATTGACAAGGACAACTGCCCTGGCCAGTTTGGCTCAGCGGTTAGAGCGTCGGCCTGCGGTCCGGAGAGACCCGGGTTCGGTTCCCGCTAAGGGCACGTACTTCGGTTGCAGTTTGTCCCCGGCCCTGGTTGGTCGTGCGGGTGGCAGCCACTCGATGTGTCCCTTCACGTCGATGTTTCTCTCTCTTTCTCCCTTCCTCTCTCTCCCTCCCACGCTATCTGTACAAAAAAATGGAAAAATAACCTCGGGTGAGGACAAGGACAACAGTGTGATTGCGGGCGGGGAGGGGATGTGTGTGGAGGTGGAAGAGTGTATAGCAGGGATAAATGGTGATGGGAAAAAATTAAATAAGTGAGCATTTAAATATGATTTCATTTTTTTTTCTAGACTGGATATGAAAAAAGTATGACACCAGGACAAAATAGAGAAAGAGAAAGGTAATTACGTCATCTCATAGCTAAACTTCTTTATATGTAAATTGTAAGTTTCATATGTAATTTACATGTGCCTCTTTGAAGAGTAAGACAGTTAAGAATAGGAACTTTACGCAAAAAATGTCTATCAGCTTTTAAAATCAGATTCAGCTGTACATTTATTATTTGTTTATTATTTATTATAAATGAATAACATTTAGGTATTCAGTTAGTTAACAAGTCATGGACCAGAGTAATATGTCATTTGTTTTAATTTTCTTTTTTTTTCTTTTTGTTTTACGCTTAGTGGTTTTTCTTACCCAAATTTCAGTATGTCTGCAGCCAATGGTGTATCTTCGGGAGTAGGTAGTGGAGGCGGCAAGATGAGACGAGAGAGAACACGCTTTGTGGCAACTAAACCTCTGGAGGAAGAGGTAGGGTTATAGACTCTTGGTGTTTATTAAAAGCCCTGGTGTGTTGTGGTGAGGGGATATCTGGAGGATTGGGGCTTAAGGAGACCAAACACAAGAATAATCTTCCATTGAAACAGTTCCTTTAAAATATGTGTTTTAAACTACCAGGCTTTTTAAACCACCTTTACTGTGACAACAAAGAAACCTAGCTTTAGTACTAAACATTTAATGGATGTCATTAAAAAGACATAATTCTTTTTTTTTTTAATCCTCACCCGAGGATATTTTTCCATTTATCTTCAGATAGAGTGGGAGAGAGGGAGGGAGAGAGAGGGAAAGAGAGAGAGGGAGACACATCGACTAGTTCCCTCCCGCACAACCCCATCCAGGGCTGGGCATGAACCGCAGTGAGGTATGTGCCCTTGAACGGAATCAAACCTGGGACTCATTCCTGAAGGCCAGTGCTCTAACTACTTAGCAAAACTGGCCAGGGTAAAAAGCCATAATTCTTTTAATAAAATAATTGGAATTCGGTTTTGACAGTGTTTGAAACTTACATAAAATGAATTAATGTGGTTTGTATTCATCTCGCTTGCCCTTTTCATGTTGTTTGTGAACTTTTATCATTGTTGTGAAAGGAAACTCTAGGTTATTTAATTTCACTGTAACATATATTTATCCAGTATGAATATTTACCACAAACCATTCTGCAGGGTACATTTGGGTTGATTCTTAAAACATACTGAGGTGAGTATTTATGCATTTCTTGCTCAGCACACCTGCAGTATTTCCTCTAGGCTCTTTATCTAGGAATGGACTTGTTAGATTACAGGGGATGATGCACATCTTGTAATGTATTAGATATTGCCTCATTGTTCTTCAGGATAGTTTTACAATTAAACACTTTCACATGACAGTAGGTAGATCTGCTTTTTCTTTTTCTTTATCCTTTATCAGTACTTGATTTTGTTGATTTAAATATGTTAACCAATGTAATGGCTGTGAAGTGGTGTGCCATTAAGTTTTATTTT